AATGTTTCTTGCACTTCTACGGATGCTAGTATTAATGCTAGTTAAGATGATGGTAATTGTAATTGAAATAGAAGCATTATCAAAAAAATATAATGATAGTGATAATGATAATGGCAATAGCAATTAAAAGAATCTTTGTGGTTTATAAATAATAATGACAATGGTGACTAGTATTTCAGGTATTAGTCTTGATGATTGTCATTCATGCTCATATTTATACTTGTCCTTTCAAGTATAAATTTCACTTCACATCTCGATTTTTTTCCTTCCTCATTCAGTCTCCCTTACTCTCTGTTTTTCTTTCTTTCCTCCACTTCCTCTCTCTATTCTTCCTCCCTGAATATTTCCTCTCCCTCCCCCCTCCCTTTTCTCTCTCCCTCCTCTTCCTCTCTGATTATCCCATCTTCCTCAACCCCTCCCTGACTTTCTCTCCTTCCTCCTTGATTATTCCCTCTCCCTCTCCCACTTCCTTTTCTCTCTGTCTCCACTTCCTCCCTGATTATCCATCTCCCTTCCCTCCCTGATTATCTTTCTCCCCTCCCTCCCTGATCATCTTTTCTCCCTCTCCTCCCTCCCTCTTCTTTCTTCCCTTCCACCTCCCTTTCCCTCCCCCACCCCCATCCTCCTGCTCAGCCGCGCATACCCGGAGCGGTCTGGACTCATCCCTGTCTCCGTCGACGTGGAAAAGAATTAGCTGGAGTTGCCACGGCAGGGCGACGCGGGACAAAAGCGTCGGGGGGAAGGTGTTCAAGCCTCCGTTGGTCCGGGGAGAGTGTGGCTGGAAACCCCCCCCTTGATAAGGCGTGCTGTGCTGTGTCTCGTTCTGTATTGTACTGTGCCAGTTGTACCCGACCGCCAGCCAGCCAGCCAGCCAGCCAGAATGCCAGCCAACCAGCCTGCCTTCGGGTCTCCCCAGTTTTCCAGCTTTACGGCCAGCCATTGATCTATCTACCCGCGGGAACTCTTTCTCTCTCGTTCTCTTTCTCTCTCTCACTATGTTTCTTTCTCTATCTCTTTCCCTCTTTTTCTTCTCTCTCTCTCTCCCTTGTTTTCTTTCTCTCTTCCTCACACATTCTCTTTCTCTCTCGTTTTGTTTCTTTTTCTCTTTCTGGTTCTTTTTCTTGGCTTATTGTTCTCAGTCTCTGTATCTCTCTCTTTTTGTCTGTCTTTGGTTCTCTTTCTCAGTTTTGCCTTTTTCCTATCTCTCGACTGGATCTTCTGTTTAATTCCATTCTGCCCATTGGTTTCCCTTTTTTCTATTTAATTTTCTTATTTTATCTTAATATAATCATGTATAACTTTGCTATAGTTACGTGTTTGTCATTCCATCATCATTGTCATAATTAATGGTATTATCATCCATATTATTGCAATGAATATTCGCATCACTGTTACCATTATTATGATTAATATATATATATATATATATATATATATATATATATATATATATATTTTTTTTTTTTTTTTTTTTTTTTGCCCGGGCTATGCCCATGAGCTATGATCATGATTGTCGTTTTTGTCAATCATCATAGTGATGATGATGATCACCATCATAGGAATAACGACGGTAATAATACTAATTACAATGGTAAAATCACTAAAATGATATGACTGACAAATCACTTATGATGATATAATTAATGTCAATGATAATTATTATAAAAGCGTCAGTAAGGACAATAATTTGAAAAAACAATATTCAAGAAGTAATTCCATAAACTGCTTATTACACAGAGAAAACAGAAAAATTATAGACCAAACGGCTTTAAATTGATTTCACTTAATATATTCGTCACAGATATATTTTTCATCTTGCAGTTGGGTTTGGAGGGGGTTTAGCAAGCATACGCCTGAGAATCTGGCACAGTATTACAGCAGCTTCTTGGTCACTGGCCTCAAGCACTCCCATTAACTGCCGGTATCCTTATACATTATACATGTATTCAGTTGTATTGTCTATATATTTATATAAATGACTTTATAATTATTTGAAGTCATACAATTTCAGCATTAAAATGACCTTTCAAATTACATTCATGGTGTACCTGTTTTAAATCACTTAACGATATGGTGAATACGATATAGCTGATTATCCAAACTTCTTATCAAATTGTTAGAAATTTCACTTTACTCTAAGGCCAAATATATCAGAAAATAGTACCAAGTCCTTGAAAAGAAAAGAGAAAAAAAAGATAAGAAAGAAAAAAAAGAAAGAAACTACTGCACTTCCTTTATATTTCCATAACATCTGTATCTCATTCACAGTCTCATAGCAACCGAGTCCTTCTGCTAAGTCTTCCGGTACGTGGATGCTGTCTGGCTATTGTAGACAATACAGAAGTCTTTTATTTCCAGTTCTGATTAGACCGTTTTTTTTTATTTGAAAAAAAACTTCTTTTTTGTTTTCTCTTCATCATTATCATCTTCACCAATGTTCCAACGTGATATGGGGTGTGCATGAACATTACAGTGAAATCCTTTGTTCAGAAATAGGAAA